CGCGCTGCCGCGGGCTTGTTTGGTAATTGCACATCGACTATAACCAAAAAAAAATAAAATGGAAGAACTTTCTCAATATGCAAGCAAGATTACGGTGTATTGTCAGAAAATGAATGTTGTGGTTGAGCAATTGCAAAGGCAGATGAAAGAGATGGTCATGCGCCATCAAAACTCGCATGTTAGGTGCATAAGAAAACAAAAGGCTACATTAACTGAACATGGTTGTTTTTCGAGGAATTCATAACAAAAAGGACGTTCGATAAATCCAAAAGGGCTAAATATAGCAGCGTATGGCAAGAGAGTTAAGTAGAATGTTGTCGAAGGAAGGAAAAAAGAATGTGGCATCACAAAAAGTTCATTCATGGCTATATAGCTAGATGTCCTGCAAATGACCCACATGATTAAATTAGTAGCTGAAACAAAAAAGATTGAAAAAGAGGAATTGCTATCCATCCCATTGAAAATTAAGATCTGAAAGGAGATATAATCTAATACATGCTTTTATATGCTCATAAAACTAGCTATGTTGTGTATAAGCAAATGCTTAGGTGTAACGACAATAACTCATGCGAGAAACCAACTTATTAATAAGTTGTCGTTTCTGTCAACAACTGTCGGGTCTCCATTTATTAAAGTTCAACCCAGGAAAAGCTGGCCATAAGCAACCACAGAAACAACAGCAAGGTGATGAAAAAACCAAGTGAAACACGTCATCTACCAGGGCAAACTGTCCAACCAAAGCAATGCCAACCGGTTTTAATCAATGCAGCTCAGGCAGAGTATGTTTTGAAAAAGCAAGAGTTGGTGCAAAATGACAGTGGAATGCTATATCAAGCAAAGATGAATATAAGCGAGCATTATAGTTCACTTGATCAAGCACAAGTGACTAAATAACGTATCTCGTAGTGAAAGGAAAAGGAAAGCTAAAATAAAAGCAATCAACAGAGCTCTAATTCAGATTACTATGGCATGCGGTAAAATAGGTGACAGTCTAGTCTCTTTAACTGTTATCCACAATATCAGTTCGATAAAGGACTAAGATTGATGAGGTACGCCTATTGTACTAACTATGACGCAGCAGAGAATAAATGGAGAGTTAACTACAGCGTGGGTTGACGCAGAAGACCATTGTTTTTTTCGCAGTGGTTCAGATGCTTCGCAGCTAGAAGAAGCAAACTTGGTTGTCCTATTAATCAGCTTATTTGGGAGGGAGACTCACCGCATACGCAGGGCTGTCACCATAAAATGTTGTTAGTGAGGCATCTGTGCTTTGTAAATGCAAGAGAAAGGAAAAATACTCATTGTAAGGTATATGGGAGGAAAAAAAATACTCATCAGATGCAAAAAAGACCGAAGAGAAAACACTAAGGTGAAAAGAATGCTAAAAAGAGAGCAGCTGGGGGTATGAAAACAAACAGAGACAACAAAGAACTTTTTTTTTTTTTTTTTTGATTTACATGGGGTGTCCGGGCCAGCTTACGCGCACCACGACTAATCCACACGGCCCACTGAATATCCTGCAAGCCCAGTGAGCAGGTAAGGCACCGCGGGGGTGACAGGCGTGCATGGTGAGATTCGAACCCAGGTTTGATATCTTTTAATTCATATAGCAAAAAAAATAAAAGTTCTTGGCCGTAAATGATGTATAAAGCTATAATATCTTATATAGAGTTTATAAAGGATGTTGTTTCCACTAGCACAATTGTGACTACTTGAAAGATATTGAATACCAAAAATCAATAAGAAATCAATTGAGGCATACATTGTCACCAATGCTAAGGACGTAGTACCTATATTCTGAGTTGAAATTCACTAAAACTGCAAAACATCTGCGTTTTCATATTCCTTGCTTGTGATATCTTTTAATTCAGTCAATGCTGCTTTTCAAACCTCTCAAGCAAACGCAAAGATCAATCCCCTTACACACTTGGTAAAAAAATAATGTGATTTCCAAGAATCATTTGGATCTAGCTATATCATCATCCAAAAACAAAAAGGGGAAAAGGAAAGGAAAATAAATGCACCTTTAATCTAGGATTCTGTAAAGCAATTCTTTATCAATGGAATGACGAACAAAAAATTAGCAGCTAGTTCAACCAAGAATTTTTAAGTTGGCATAGCATATTTTTTGCTTTACTAATTATTGAATAGACTATTGATCGCAAAGAAAACCATGCCTCAACACAGCGCAAGCGATGAAAAAGAGTAGCGACTCACCCCTCAATTGAGCTACATAAATTCCTATGAAATGCAAACCATCATAAAGCAACCACAGGGTGCAAAGAAGTTCGTGTAGTAAAACAGAGAAATGCAGAAACAACTACCAAAACGATGGAAAACAAATATACAATTTGTAAAATAAGTTTTCAATTACACGGAGTGAAAAAAAAAAAGGCATAAATTCTAACCAAACAAAGCACACAGATTCTCCAAAAGCATGTTCGACTCCCTAACCAGCACCACAATAAAAATCACACGGGCTATTGCCAATGTTCAAGGCACAAATTAACAACAAAAACATTAAAAAGAACAAACCAAGCCGAACAAAAAATAATCACATCCCTTTCTTTTCTAAGGCAGGCTACTAACTGTAAAAAAAGAAGAAGCCATAACCAGAATGTAATCAGAAATCAAATCCCAAGGAAAAAAACATCGGGAAAAAACTCTTGCGTAAACATGAAGGAGAAACGGACAAACCAGCACTCCACAATCTGACAGCCAACAAACCAAGACCAGTAGCCGTGCTCGAAACAAAACCCAAGAACCTAAGAACAAAACATAAACAAAATAAAGCACCGAGAATCAGCAAAACAAATGAAATCATCAACAACAGACCATAAACCTCAAAATTCAAGTGGGAAAAATCATTTAAAAGCCAATGTTACTACTTTTCTTTTCGATAATATATATATATATATATATGTATGTATGTATAAGAATCTTTCTTCCTATCCTTCCAGCTCGACTTCTCTATGGGTCTCACTGTGATGCAAGGGTTTACCCCTCTTCAACAGGCCACCATTCTAGTTCACTTTGAATTTTTTTCATCGGTTCACTTTGCTTTTTGCTCGTCGTTTTCAGATCTCGAGCTCCATCGCTTTGCGCTGGTTTCAGCGAGGTCTTTGGTGTTTGTGTTGGTTACTGGGGTATCTGGGGTTTTATCAGCGGGTATTTGTGGGGTTTTCATGGGCTTCAGGCTTAAGCTGATTGACTTCTATAGGGTTAGCGGGTTTGGTATTTTGGATTTTGTACGGCAAGTAAATTTTGCCTCTGAGACTATAATATTCTACAATTGTAAAATTTCATTCTTTTGCAATTGAGAGATCATTGTCTTCTTCTTTTTCAAGTCCTTCTAGTCACAAATACCTCTCTTGCAATTGTTGCCAGCCTCATTAATTGCAGGAAAATACTGTAGTAGCAATTTACAGTGTTCCGTGAGAGCAGCTACATGTTCCCCGTATGATTTAGTTTTCGTTAATTAAAGACCAGATTAAGGCTGAACAAGATAAAGAATTAATTAACGGAATTGACAAGAACAGCATCCATAGGAACTTTGTGCTAACCACGGTTTTTCGATACAGCAGAAAGATTAACTAAGGATGACCTTTAAAAGATCGGATTAACATTATTGTGAGCTTAGCCTCTTCAATATTAACGGAACTGGCATTTCTTACCACGCACTTGGGAGAAAACAACAAACACGGAAAGAAAGAAAAAGAGCCAACTTTTTAATTGCAGGTATTTGAGGTAGATGAGTAGAAGAGAGGCTAATAAAAGCACCTGTGAATATAAACTCGATTCACTAGCAGTTTACAATGGATAAAGTAGCTCCAAAGTAGAATTCGAATGCGGAACAGTGAGAGGAAATACAACTAATGGGCCGTTTGGGTAAGAACAGTGAGCAAAGAAAAATTTCTACCCAATGGGCCTGATCAATTTCAAAATCTCACCTCGCATAGTCCTCTAGCCCACTGACTAGGTAAAGTAATTGACTAGTGATGCTCCAAAAGGCCCATTCAAACATTGCCCGCATGTTTTATTTTTCAGCTCGAAAAAAAATCGAGAAATAAAGAGTTCAAACCTGTTTGAAATGAAGGAAAAGACACAAGATATCAAGAATTCTTCAAACTTAAGAGTGGCCCGGATTAAAATCAAGTTGCCGTCGTGAATAGTCCCGCTAATCCAGGTTCTTCTTGACCCTGTGAGCGTAATCCATGACTGAAAAGTTTCATATGGGAAAAATGGGGGAAAACAATTAATAAGAAATCAAAACCTGTTTGAAATTAACGAAGGAAAAAACACAAGGATTCGAACTTAGAGTGGCCCGGATTCAAATCAAGTTGCAGTGGTGAATATACCGGCTGATCCAAGTTCTTCCTGACCATGTGAGCCTAATCCATGTATGAAAAGTTTCATATGGGAAAAAAATGTGGGGAAACGATCAATAAGATGGAGAAAACACACGATACATGTGAAGATGATGACATTTTCATATATATTTTTTTAGTGATCACTCAAATGTTAGTATATCCAGCAGCTAAACTTCATAAGATGCTTGAAATCAAATAAATTGAAGCATGAGCAGTTAGATATATAGTCAAGAAAGCAATAGCAAAAAGCAAGCTCGCGATATAATAGCCATCTCATTGTTGAAAATTTGAAATCATTGAAAACAAACACAAACTGTATGGAAGGATATACATAGGGTTTCTGATTCTGTAACAAATCCAATTCATCATATATGCATGACTAATTCTAAGCTTGAAATATCAAGAAATTCATAAAATCACATTTTCCAATGAAAACAGGAAAATGCAATATCCATATTCAACCTATGAAAGAAAAAGGTTTTCGATCCTAAAACAAACTGTGCCCAATGATGTGTTAGTCATGGGAGTGTAAGTGCAAATTAAGGATGCCAACTCTAGTCACAGGTGCAAGCCAATCCGAAAAACTTGACAGCAAGGCACCACCAATTCTAGTTCGCAATGGCACTATCTAGCTAGATACAATTTATTCGTCCCGTTGCTTCAAGTCTTTGTTCCGATTGATTGTCCACGAACTTCCTGCCCTGCCTTATCAATTGCAATCTGTGCATCACGGCACTCAGGACTACAAAAAGCACCCAAGTAACTGCATTGCAAAAACGGTGTTACTCCAACTTCATCAAAATGCACTAATCTGCAGATTCATCTAAAACATTCTCCAGCAAATACAAAAAATATACGGTAGAGAACAGAGAAGCAAAGCCAAAAGGAAAACATCCACTATTAAAAAATAGGTTATTAGCATCGGATTTTAGCAGCAGAATAATTCAGTTGATGATTTAGCAACGGATTGTATATATATAATTTTTTTAACATCAACATCGGATTTAGTAACAGAAAATCCATTGCTGAAAAACAATAAACTGTCAAAAAAAAATATTTAAAAAATCAGCAATGAATTTTAGTTTATCCACAACAGATTAGTTAATTGTTAATAGCTCTATTTTTTAGTAGTGATCTAACCGGATGAAAAGGTATAACATCTATTCCTTCCTTGTACATTCCCGGTTCCCTTCTCAGCAACCGCGCAAGCATCACAATAGAGTTCTTTTTCCTCAGGAAGGCCACATGAATGATCCCCTACTAACCCTAACAGCACTACTTTGCTTAATCAATTTGCCTTTAATTGCTCAAAACAGGCAAACAAAAAAAGATACAAATCATGACGGAGGGAAAACTCCAAGGTATACTTCTATTTCGCAATTTTCTCAGACATTGACTCAAAAAAAATATTAGAGCAAATTGCTTCTGTTCTTAGAAATTCTTTGATACAATGACAACGTGCAAAATCAATTATGCATTATTATTTTATTTCCAAAATCAAAAAAAAAAACCGCGATAATTGCAACATAGAATGAAAATAATAAAAAGAAACAAAATCTTACCCGTACATATAGACATCCTGTTTTTTATTCAATCTCTTCTTGCAATAGCCACACCTATCAAGAAAATGCTCAGTCTTCACTAATCCACCTCCTATATCCTTCTCTTTCTCTGGCAGCAGCGGCTGGGGGGGGGGAACCGTGATAATCTTCTGGAGAGACTGATTGAGCGGCTGGGGAGGCGAAACCGTGATAATCTTCTGGAGAGACTGATTGTCCGTGTCATCAGCAACGAAACCAGCGTCCCACGGCGAAAGTCGGTGGTTGCTGAAACCAATGTCGCTGAAGCTCTGCGTATGAGTTAAGCGAAAGCGCTTGCCTGGCATTGATTGATTAATTTGGGGATTTTACAGAAATCCAAAAATTAGGGTATTGGGCGAGAAGAACGAGAGAGAAGCCAAAGGAGAACGAAACTGAAACTGAAACTGGAATTCTTTCTTGCGTGCGTGAGGAGAGTACCGCCTGAGTGTGTGTTCAGGGTTTATATAGGCTACTGTGGGGGCCCCTGGTTGTTAGCGAATTATATTAGAGATACCTTTTAAGTTTTAAGTTGTGTTTTTAGGGGTGGGTGGTGATGTGCTACTGTGTGCTGCAGAGTATGGTAGGAGAGTTAAAGTGACCAATGAGACACCTCCCAATTTGGAGTGTTTAGAATCTTATTATTTGAAGAGTTTTAATCCACACTTTTTTTTTAACACTAAAATTAAGAGCCAATAAGAATGGGTAGATTTTTTCCTCTTCTATTGAAGACCGAGGTTTTAAGAGAAAAAACATTATTATAAAAAAATATTTCTGGTGAAAAAAAAGAAAAACCCAACTAGACGATTAATTAATCTATTATATGCTTGGTACTTAAAAGGTGGTAGTTTTTATATTTGGATTTATGGTTTAATAGAAGATTTAAGACATATACAAATTAAATTAAAAATATTAAACATAATAAATATTTATATAGAAAAAACACGTCTCTTGAGAATAAAAAAGGTAATTGAAACTTATAAATTGTCTACGTTATCAACCTTTTAAATCCATTCTATCAGAAGATGGAAATATATCAATAATGATATTAAATAGTTCACTCCCACTCCCAACATGGATGGACACCCTATTCATATTAATGTTAAGGCTCATTGTAGCATTAAAGATAACCAGCTAGATGTGAAAAATACATAAATAAATAAAAAAACATTATAGAATAAACTAAAAGGTTGCATGATTTCATTTAGATTGACATTGTTTATATATTCATAAAACAATGTTGATTTATTATTTATTTTTTAATAATTTATTTTGATCCTTTAAATTTTTTCTCGTGATTTAATCTTAATCAAAATCTAATTGCTTTTGATTTATTAGGCAATAATTGAATTAGAAGAAGAGTGATCAAAATGAAAAAGACATCAAACATGAGTAGTGTGCAAAAGATTTCATGAAAAAATACACCTAGATCCTTAATCTTTAAAAATAACATAATTTATACAATTTAAATCACTTTAAATTTCTAAAATTCACTTTTGGTATAGAAGTTCATTTATATTATTTTTCAATCCCTGTTAAAGAGAGAGGAGACATAGATGGGTCAATGAATTTTAGCGATGAGAGAAAATTAATGTCCATTTCATTTCTGGCCATCAAAATAGTTTTTTTTAGTGTTTACAGATTTTATGCTGTGAGAGGGGTTTGATGGTGTTTTTGAAAGTTTCAATATTGCCTAAGAAAACGTATTTAAGTATAGGAAGTCAAAATTAACCCGATTTGATTTTAAATTTTTAGATCTTTTTTTAGTATTTTGGGTTGATAGGTTAGTTTTATAAGTATTCTAAGGATGTTGGCGAGGTATTTTGGGTTGACATGACTTCAAATTGAATTTTTTAAGCAAAAGAAATGCTCTTCCAAGTTTCCAATCACAATAATGGTGACTGGAATCTAGGCTCATAGACGACACACTATCTATCTTGGTGGGTGATGTTTGTTGGCTTATTTTTTAAAAAAGAAATAGGGTTGGACAACAGGTCACCAATGCCTTTAAAAAACAAATAATAATAAAATTAAGTTTAAGCTTGTGGGCTTATGCTTGGGCTTAAAGGCCCACCTACATATCTAGACTTTTTTACTACAGTGGCTTAGACGCGTTGGGTCATAGGCCTGAGAGCCTAGGCTCTTTTTTACTCTTTTTTTTTAATATAAATTTAAGAGATAAAAAATTATTGAACTTGGTTGGGTCCATGGCCCGAACCACAATTTTGACGAATTAAACAACCATACCCATTATATTATTGTTTTTTCTAATATATATTACTTGTTTTTAATTGATATATTTTTTATTTTTTTAAATAATCTTTAAATTTATTTTTCAATTAATATCTCTTCTTTATGATTTTTTTTCTTATTTAACTTTTTTTGAATATAGATTTTTTTTTAATGGTGTTGTGTGTGTTAATTTTTGAAAAGATTATTCATATTCTTCTCTCTTTTTTTTGTATTTTATATAGATAAATTTTATTTTTAAAAATAAAATTTTTTATTTTAAAATAATATTTCTAATACGTGCAGTTTTGCATAGTATTTTTTTTCTTATATTTTATTCAATCAATTTAATATCAATGTCTATTTCTATTATTATTTGATTAAAAAAATCAATTTTAATAAACAATTTCAGTAAACATAACCGAGTAAATATCTCATTTGTAAAATTAAATATTATGATCTATATATGTCTCTTAGTTTTTATAGTTTTGCTTTTAGTTATTGTTAAAACTAAAATATATGGTATTTTTACTATAGATAGGACATTATGTTGCGTTTTTCACACACTCGTAGATTATTGTTCACTTATCGTATGTTTATTTTTTAACTTTAGTCCTTAAACTTTTATAGTTGGTGATTTGACCTTAAATTGAATGTCAATTGCTTGTGATTTCTTAGGCAAATTAAACATAGAAAGAAGAAGGGTCTAAATGAAAAGGGCATCTAAAATAGATAATGTGTCGAAAGTTTAAAAAATATATATTTTTATTCTTAAACTTTACAAATAATATAATTTAGGTACCTTTCAATGTTTAAGATTCAATTTTGGTCCAAAATTTTATTTTTTTATATTTTAATTCTTGGTTCGAGAGAAGAGAGAAAGGGACTTCCTGGTTTCCAACATTAAAAAGAGAAAATTGATGTTTACCATGATTTCAACTATCAAAATTATTTATCTTGGTACCAACAATTTGTATTCAGTAAAAGTGATTCTATTTAGGTCTTTTTAAGCCTTAAAATTGCCCAAAAAATTGTTATAAGATTAAGAATAGTTTTTGTTTTAGCTTGATTTTAAAAGGTATTTTTTATGGGTTTTTAGATTTTTTTATATATATATTTATGACTTTATCAAGGTGTTTAGTTATTTCTCAACAAGTTCAGGGCAATAAATTAATTGGTTTTCTCAAGTTATATCCTCTAAGTTTTGATGGTGCTGATTTATAAAAAAAACCTTCAATTTTATATATAGACACGCACATCTTTGGTTTCTTCTTGAAAATGAAATAATCAGAAGACTTATCATTTTCAACTTCATGTAAGGCAACCAATGACTTAGTCTTTTTTTATTTTAAACTTGTATGAAATACATTGGCACAAAGAAAACAATTAAAAACATTATTTCACATGATGCTAATACAACAAATATCTAAGAATTAATGGAGATATTTTAAAGCCTCATAGATTATGCACTTCAATAATCACTGGACACGTACAGTCTTTGATTTAATATCATAATTGTCATGCACCTGAATCAGAAGATAATTAGTACATGGTATAAAAAGATTATTTGAATCATATTAAGTCTCAAATATATCAAACTGAAACATTCTTAAAACAAATAAAATTCAAATATTTAAAAGAACATAATCACATCAATTAATATACATATGCACACATCCAAATGATATCAAATTAATGCATGTATCACATTTCATATGATTGCATAGAAGCAAACACATATAATTAATAATAATTCTTATGGCTAATCACATCATATGCACGCCTTACATGCACACATCAGTGCACCTCATCTAAATGATATCAAAATGTATATATCTCATTTCATATGATCATGTAAATGCAAACACATATAATTTATAATAATTATTAAAGATACATTTATATCAATTAATTACAGTTACACAACAAGAATGCAAACCGAAATCTTCTACCACTTCTTGTAAAAAAGTGGTATATGGTACCCCTGAAATACCTAGATGTATGTCAACACAAAATAAAATTAATCCCAGATTCAAATAGAAGCAATAAAGCTTGATAGTAAATTATTAATAAATCTCAATTACTTATTAAGATTTAATTGAAAAACTATCATTTACAACCAGGGATTGAACTGATTTTTCAAGAATTCAGGGGTAAAATTGTAATTTTTTATAATTTAAAGACTAAAATATAATTATATCATTTTCAACCTCTCACACATGTTCCTTTCATAACTTCATATTTTCTTTCCAGTACTAAAATTAAATTCCTCAATCACTTATTCAAAACACATCAAGATAGTCCAATGAAACAAAATTACATATTAATTCTTTGCTACTCTATTTCAATTAATTCATATTCATATATATATAACTAACTTCATATAAACCCTAATTTTTCAACAAACTTAGTACAAAGAAAAAGATCTAAAACAATATCATAAATTAAATAGAAATTAAGAAAACTTACTCAGGACAAAGGAATTAAATAATCAGTTGGTAACTTGGGTTTCGAAGAGAATTTTTTTTCTTTTTTTCCAGCAAAGGAAAGGGGAAGACAGTTTAGAGCTGGGAAGGGGAAATGGAGTGAAAATGGCTGCCATATTATATATATATACCAAGCTTTTGGACCAAACTAATGTACTAAACAAATTGCTTAACTTAATGGGCCAACAATTAAAGATAATACTATGGGTCTCACACTTTCGATGGATGGATGAACATGGGTCGTACAAGATTCATGGTTACTAATGACCACCTCGTTGATGGCCACGAACAATATGGTTGTGTGGCAAGAAGCTCCTTGTCGGATCAAGAATCTGATTGCACAAATAGCTCGGAATGGAGCTGGAATTAATTTGAAAGATGAATTGTGTTTTGCCTCTTTTACTTTTGTCAACTAGCCCACCAATTAAACTAGAATGGCTATGAAAATATTTCTTCTAAATAATGTTGTGATTTGAAAAAGAATTATTTAGCTCAAAAGCTTAAAGCGATAGATCTTGTAGCCATTTGATCAGCACAATTCTTATATTATATTAAATAATTATCATTCTGAATTACTAAACGAGATTCTGAAATATAATTTATTTATCATACTTTAACATAAGAGGTTTTATGCTTTATAAACCAGTCATGTGCTCACTTTCATTCTCGCATCAAATAATTATCGAGTAAGCAATTTTGTGGCAGCTGCATAAAATAAAAGGAAAATCAAGTTGACAATATGTTCTTTTAATTTATTTAATCCTTTTTTTTTAATCCAAGGCTAGTACGAATACATCAGAGCAAAATATATATATATATATATATATTTTGTGAATTTGTTTGGCTTTTTTGTATGTAGCCTCAGCCAGTCCGACGTCGCACTGCGTGCTTGCCATCTGTCAGCATCATCAGTTGAAGTGTATATCCTTGAAATTGACTGCACAATATTAAAACAAACACGTGTGAATATATAAATGTTAATGTTGCTTCGAGAATTAATTTTATTTTCTAAGAAAAAGGGTCCACAGAGCATGAATCATGTAGCTTACGATGTGTCTCTTTGGCCACACAGTCAGCGTCGCACTTCATTTCGCAGAAGGAGTAGCCATTGCCCTCACTCTTGCATTTGTCCTCGCAATCATTGAAACATGCTGCGTAATGATCATCCACCTTGTTCGCAGTGTTTAGGTGCATTGTTGCAGCAGCAACAATGCACATGAGAAAAACTGCTACGAGTTTGTTGGCCATATTGTCTCCTTTTTGCTCGTGTGTTTCTTCTCTTGATTCGATGGATGATGCGAAGAGAAGAAGAATGAAGGATTGAGGTATTTATAGAATCGCATAGTCTAATTTTGTGCCGTTTGAATCCATTTTTTTGGCAAAACTTGTGGTTAATATTCCCATTGCACTCCTTTCGGATTTGCTGAAAAAATTGAATGGCACAGGTGCATAGAGGAAGTCAAACTCTCTTTTAAATCACCACCAACCTTAGCACCACGCACGCCAAAAAACAAGAGGGGAACGGAAAAGTTCAGCTTAAATATTTTTAGCAATATCCTGTTTTTCAATTTAAAAAAACTGGAAGATGAGGGAGTGATTTATAGAGCTGCGCTATCAACCAACAATAAGATCTTGGAAGGTTTTTCCTGGGCCATTACATATCTAAGTAGAAAGATTTAAAGGACATGTCGTTGTTGTACACAGCTCGCTTGTTTTCCACTCAGGCAAAATTAATAGCAGTAAAAAAAGAAGAGGAAGAGGAGAGAGAGAGAGAGAGAAGGTAATTAAATGCATGTTAGGACATGGGATTGGTAGGAGATGGACAAGAATAACTTGCAATAAAATTTCTTTCATAGGTTTCTGATCAAAAATTTTGAAAATACAATATTAATATTTAGTGTAACGTTCATAGATATCTTGAATGTATTAAAATATATTAATATGTTAATAAAAGAGATCGTCTATACTGCCACAGTAGAGTGACAGTTCAAGAAGCCATTGGTTTGGTGGATAAATGCATTTCCGTGATTTGTTCGAGGCAGGAAGTGGTTCATCCAAATTTCGTAATCAAGATTGGCGATAGAGAGAGTCCAAGGAATATGCCTGGCGGGAATCTATCAGAAAAAATAAAAACCAGCGATGCACCTGCATCCTAAATATTCGAATTCAGTATAGGCATCTTCTAATTCTGGTTTTCCTCCTAGATTGTCATTTTTTTTTCTCGAGTATGTTTTGGTGTCATAACCTTCTGCAATGATAATCTATATTAGCATGATTAATTAGGCAGCCACATCAATTTACGTGTCTGTAGTTTTTCTCGACTTCAATACAGTGCAAACATAATTAAATAGAATTCTGAAAGGGTTTCTCCAATGGTTTGTTTGTTTTGCTTGTGAGTATCAGGCTTCATCTTCCATCATTTGCCTTGTACTTAAATTTATCAAACACTCCTGTGTCATCATACTTGTCTAGGCGTTACAGTTCGAAGGAGCTTTAGCTGATGAACTATAATGAATTAACAAAGGCATTCTTTTCCTACGTTCTGTTATTTTGTTTTCTGACAACATAACGTTGAGCTGTGTTCGTCAAGTTTTCACACCAACAAAAAAACAAAACAGATAGCAAGAGGGATGAAGATGAAGAGGCTGTAGCTTAATAGAATTTTTTGAAAAGCATGATTGCTAGAAATATTAGCCAGGAAGATGGTGGTGAAACATGGGATGACATAGATGCTGGGGGGGACAGCATTGGTCGGATCCCTGCAGTTGTTGGCGGGGATGCTACTTGCACGGGCGGGGATGCTGGTGTTAATGGTAGAGTAATTTCAGATTCTGGTGCTGGAGCAAGTGCTACTGCTTTGGAAGCTGCAAAAAGCAACTTGTAAGTAGTTCAGGTATAGAACTCTCAACATAAGTATTATCTTACTGGTACAGTAACATTCAAATTTTTGTCTTCACCAATAGATAATCTTTCTTTTCAAAATCCAAGAGCAGGGGTTACCTCGTGGGCTTAAAGGAGCAGCAGCTGGAGGTGGAAGAGTTGGCACTAGAGAGACGGGACCTGCCAGTGTTCCAGTGAAACAAATTGTTTAGCCAAGGAAGGAGTGTTTGTATTAGGTTGACAAAAAACGTATATAGTTTATGTTTTAGTTTCCATATTTTTTCCCAGCAAAATTAAGAATTGTAAAGGATCCATAAATTTGCTATCACCTGGTGCTGGCAGAGGGGTCCCAGTTGCTGTAAAATACAATACAATTATCATTAGAAAGTTTAACAAACATTGACAGAACTAAAAAGATTCTCAGCAGGTAGATTTTAAGTCCTACATTTACACTGTCCCGGCACGCCACAAGCGCCGGGGAGAGAGATAGCTAGAGTACGGTTAATTGGTAGCTGAACTGGTACATTGGCTGTTAGTAGTAGACAGGCGCAATCGATGCCAGTGCTCATCAGTGACTTCAATGAACTGCAACAACTGGCAGTTGGTGGTGAGCCATTGTTGGTGCTTCCAGTTATAAAATTAACACACGGGGTGAAGCTTGATATCATCGACAAGGTGCAAGGTGTATTAATTTGCCCATTCACTGAAATTACTAGTAGAGTTGATAGCATTGCCATCAATTTGATTACTTTGAGACCCTCCATTGGTAGTTTTGAACGAGCTGCAAATCTTGTTGATTTGAAGAGTATAGAGAAGAACCGGGTTATATGGGTAGAGATAAGAAAATCATATATAGATTGGTGAGGGCAGAAGAATTGGAGGGAAATAACTTGTAGATTTGAAATGGGTTCTGGAGTTCAACAACTATAGCTAATTTCCCATGGTTGAAGGAAGCTTTTTATTTACCTCCCCGAGTCATTAAAGGACAGGAGTCCAAGTTAGGTATGTTAGGCATGCCGGTCATGATTTTAAATTTGTTTTGTTTATATATATATATCACAGCAACGTCCGTCATTGGTAGATTGCATCATTTGTCTCTGCATGTTTAACTTAGTTCAAGGGAAAGCTCAACTTGATGCCCAGCCCAGCGGCAGGTTTACTCTGGAATCGGGTGATCCGGGGTCTTGATTGATTGAGTTTGTTTTATTTAAAACTTCAGCTAGTAATTAGCTTGGAAAAAACCGTTCATCCTGCAAGGTGAATTAGATTATTAACTTATTTCAAAGTTTACTATATAAATAATAAAAAAAATAATTTATTTTTTCAATATAAAATGTATAACTTTTTAGTATATGTATTTTATATTCACTAAAAAAAAATGTGTTTTTTTAATATGAAATAAAAAAAATTAATTTAAATATTTTAACTTAAAATAATAAAATAATATCTTTATAATATGTGAGATAAAAAAAATTATGAAATAATTTTTTAAATTTAATAACGAGTAATAAGAAAATTCGAACCTTCCTTTTTGTCATGTAATGAGTAAACATATAGTATGGTTGAGCAGAATATTAAAATATATGCCGATGACAAATGAAAACCTGCCATCTTTATGTCTAGAGATGTTTAGTTATATAACAGCCCTTCGATTTAGTTAGAGTTGGTCATCCAAATATACCAACAACCTTGTCTCTGTTCCACAAGCTTTCCTGTATAAATCCATTTCCTTTCTTTTGTCTCTCACTCAAAATTCTCACCAGACATTTGACTACCACTACCAGATCCTTCGAGGCATCCAAGAACTTGCAAGAGCAGTCAATGGCTTCAAGTGGGACTCCTCTTGGTCTAGTCCTGCTCCTTATAGCCATTACATGTGGTGGAGCCATGGCTCAATCAAGCTGCACTAATACTCTCATGAGCCTGGCCCCTTGCCTGAACTACATTACAGGAAATTCAACGAGTCCGTCATCTTCCTGTTGCTCACAGCTAGGCAATGTTGTCCAAACATCACCACTATGCCTTTGCTTACTACTCAATAATAGCGGTGCCTCTTTAGGCATCAACGTAAACCAGACTCTTGCTCTGAATCTCCCCGCCTCTTGTAAAGTGCAAACCCCACCGATCAGCCAGTGCAATGGTAATCCAAATTCTTAACTCCTGCTTGTCTGTGTTATAAACAAGGTAGTTTTAGATTCATATTGACTTGACTTTACCATGGTAAAACAGCTGCCACTGCACCCACGGCTTCAGCAACTCCGCCAGTAAGCTCACCAGCCAGTTCACCTGCGGATTCATCTGATCAGACACCCGAGCCAGCTCTTACTCCATCAGCATCAAACATTCCTTCAGCTTCAGGTATGTTCAGGCTTAGCTGGATAATTACTCGATTACCATGGATTGATAAAGAATTGAAATTTGATCTTTGATCATGTGGATGAGACGAAATTTAATTTTGGCATGAACCAAAATTCATACGGCTGACAAAAATTAATTAAGCACATGCATGAAAGCACCAGTCTAAGCAATTTCTATTTATAAATATTAATAGGAACGAATTCTGAGGTCAGCTCTTATTTGATAAATGCAGGAACTGGAACTGGCTCTAAAACAGTCCCATCATCAACTGGAACATCTGATGGAAGTATTGTCAAAGCACACCTTCATTTTGTGCTCTTCGTTCTCTTTGTGGTATGGAGTGGTTCAACTGTTGCCCAATTCTGAGTCCCAAAAGTGGTTTGTGGAATTATACTTTGAAAATTGCCAGAGTGATTTGTGCCCTTTTGCATCATTGATTATGATTACCAGATACTATTTATTTTTGTACAATTCTGTTAAAGATGATTCTTGTCATCACCTGTACAGTGTGATTGTATTATTTGTTTGGTTTGCTTAATGAATAATGGAAGCCGTACTGGTTCCTTCCGAAAGCCATTGTCAACTCTTTAATCTCCAATTTTCTTAGCTCTTGAAGATAGGAACCTCTGATAAAGAACGATCAATCCCAGGAAAAATTCCCCTCAGCTATCATGAGAAAGTTCACATCACATTACAGAAATCTATAAATAGTTCACTGCAGTTTAAGTTTTAGATTACCAATTTTGTTATGCTTCCATTCTAGTTCTAGAGGATGAAGCATGCTCATCTTCTTCCGCCAGCAGATTACTGTGGAATAATGAGATTTTCAGAGAGTTGCATTGACAAATTATACGAAGTCTTAAGAATTGTGTGGAAATATGATAAGACGGGCAAAAAAGAAAAGCAGAGGAGAAAACGTAAATAAAATGAGCTCCTAGTGATTGGAACGGAGAACGGTACTTGACCAAGTGGCTTAACCTAAATAAGCCTAGCTGTAAGTCTTGGTTTCGGTTGAAGATTCAAGTGAACCCAAACTTTGACTTAAGAAAACTCTAAAATGAAATCATTTTAATATATAAAAAAAACATTTATGTTTTTTAATCTTCTAGGAGGTAGGATCTTATCAACAAATCACTAAGTTAACTTGTAGAAAAAATATCTTATAACATTATAAATGAAAGTTAATGGGTAAAACCCTATATCATTCCATCAAACTTTCATATAGTTCAGACTAATTAGTAAATGCTTTCACAAATTCTTCTATCATTAGTGAACCCATAAAATTGGGTTGGGTTTTTTACTATGCAAAACTTTTATCTTTCATGCATTCTCGCGGGTGGACTATATTTTTTTTTATTTTTAATTTAGTTTTTAAATTTTTTTTAGCGATTTAGTTCTAATTAAAAACTAATTAATTTTGATTTTTTATAAAAATATGAGATTGAAAAAAAAGGGACAGACATGAAAAAAAATCAGATCAAATATGGATAACATGCTATAAGTTTAGTAAAAAATACACTTTGATTCTTAAACTTTAAAATCAATCAAATTATACAATTTTAGTATCTTAATATTTTTTCAATTCAATTTTGATATAAATTTTTTTTTTTTTTATAATCCCTGATTGAGAAAAGAGAGAAAGAGGTTGTTGGATTCCAACGATAAAGAAAGAAAAGTATTGTTCACACCAATTTAAACCACTAAAACGAATGATATTTATGTCAAATTATTTTATTGATGAAGGCAGCTTATATTAGGTGTTTTTTTACCTTTAAAGTTTGTGAGAAAACATATTTGAGTTCTGATTAATTTTTGGATTTGGGTTGATTTCGGTTTTTAGGGTGGTTTTTTTTATTTTTTTAATATCATAAATAGATTTATCACAATTTCTAAAGTGCTTTATATGTGTTTTTAGTTTTTAATTAAACTATCTATAATTTTATCATGTATAAATACATCTGACAAGGAATACAGTTTTCTTGATTTCTTAAGCGTATAATAACATCAGATAAAATATTATCCAGAACAAAATTAGAATAGTGATCAAATTCTACAAATATTACGTTATCAAGTGATCTCCGTCTAATTTAAATAGTGTCACTTAATAATATTAAACTCTAATTTTTTGAATAAAACACAATTAAAAATAAATTTTATTTTTTTATTTTATAAAATCAAACCCAATTTAATTTATTTAACTTTAAACTGAATCTGATCTGGTTAAAATAGTAAAGAGTAACTGCACTCTATATGACTAGTGTAGCTTAATACACTTCCCACAAAGTTCATGAATTTTGTCACTTTGAGCTGGATGTCCTCTACTATACTTTTTGTCACTTTGCATTTCAAATGTAAATGGTAGTAGAGTTAATGAATAAAAAATAATATTTTATGTATTAATAAATATTTATTTTATATGATTTGTTTTAAAAATAAAAGCAATCATGAAAACAAACAGAAACTTAACCTTTCAAACTTTTTTCTTCACCGACTTCGCCATTGAAGGGTCTTTGAACCTTTAATGGGACTTACTATGTCAGTTTCCAGTTACTGCAATCACTCCACATCTTATAAATATTGTACAATTTATAAATAGTAAATCATATTATTTTTTTATCAAACACGTTAGATCTGCGTTTTAAATAAAATACTTACACAACCTCTTAAACAAAAGCATAACCAGCCACCAGCTCATTTTCAACATGAAAGCTTTATCTATCTCAGAGGATTTCCGACCTCATCCTTATGCATTTGCAACATGTACAGTTTGTCAGATCAAATTATAACGTGGATGAAGTTCTTTCCTCCACATTCTGAACCAGCCACGTTTTGTTCCTCATATTTTGGATCATACTTGCGGAAGAAATTGAAGAGTCACACCCACGGGTTATATGCATATGATTTATTTACAACCTTTTCAAGTTTGATTAATTTTTCAAGATGAGTTTCGAATGTTTCTTTAGGTGAAAATACATAAGAACCCAATTTCTTGGACATTGGTTTCAACAGTACTTGATGGACTTCAATTTATATGCTTAAGGACCAGCAACCTCCTGTCAGTTTGCATTGCTTAGTGGACTTTCTTCTAAATTTCTCGTGGGCTTTCAGCCACATGTAAACAATACTGGAGCAAGTGTGACCTTCTTCAGTTCCCATCTGATCGGATGCACAGCACATATTGTGTTCTTGATATTTCGTACAAAGTAGCCTGAGCCTCATATTCAAAGCTGGTAGTTCAAAAGCTCCACGGCTCCCAAAATTATCCAGAAATATGAAAAATTGCTGATCTCGAATCTAATTAGACAACAGTAAGTAACAATCACGAGTTCAAAAATAGTTGGCCAGCCAACCATCATGCACTTAACTCCATTGACACATCAACGCATCATCACTGGTGTCTGATAACAAAGTATGGTTGTTAAAACAAATAAACAAATAATTCGGAAATTTTCCATCAAAATTTCTATAGTAAGAAACTTAGCTTTCAAGTAGCAAGAATGGTTGAGCTTCTTGCAAAATCTCTACCAAATGCACCCCAATTTAGTAAAAGTTGGCCATCCATACATAACTACAATATTCTGTTCCACACTAGCCTCGGATTATAAATCCACTCCTGAACTCAGTCTCTTCAAACCACAGAACTGAGCTCCTGTGTGTAAACTGCCCCCGGCTAGACAAATAAAGATCCTATTCTCCTCAAATTTCTTGCTTCCTAGCTTGCCACATAATTCAGCACCTCCAAATGGCTTCAAAAGGGGTTCAGTTCAGTCTCATGCTAGTCCTTTCAATGATGCTTTGTCATGGAGCCACAGCTCAATCAGGCTGCACCACCGCCCTCATGGGCCTAGCACCATGCCTGAACTATGTTACAGGAAATTCCTCGACTCCATCATCTTCCTGCTGCTCACAGCTAGCTACTATTGTTCAATCACAGCCACAGTGTCTTTGTACATTGGTCAACGGGGGTGGATCCTCATTTGGTATTGCTATTAACCAAACCCTGGCCCTAGCACTCCCTGGAGCTTGTAATGTGAAAACACCACCAGCTAGCCAGTGCAATGGTAGAGTGTCGACTTGTGCTTGTGCTTAATTACATCTCATATTTTATAACAAGAAGATTGTTACATGTTATTAATATTTGGTTATGTTTAATCAGCTGCTAATGTTCCGGCAACTTCACCAGCAAGTTCTCCAGTGCTGAGTCCTCCAGCAGATTCTTCAGATGCAACACCCAAAGCTCCCGCTACAGTAACAACACCAAGCATTCCGGCAGGTCAATAACATTTCCGGAATTAGAAAAATTCGAGCAGTTCTATATTTTCCCTAAACAAAAATAGGCAGGCCAGCTATAATCATCACATAGGAAAATATGTGAAAGTTTTGTAGCAAAATAAATGTCAATCTCTACTGTATACATCCTGTTTCTCTAACTTGACATGTTATTTCATTGATGACTGCAGGAAGTGGATCTAAGACAGTCCCAACGTCAACAGGCACATCAGATGCGAGCATTATGAGAATGCAACTTCATCTCACAATCTTCGTATTTATCAGTGCTTTATGTGCCTCGGGCATCGTTAGATTCTGAGCTTTCTACCTACAAAGAATCGCCAGAGCTTGTTCTCCCAGTTTGCTACTACATTTTCACTTGTAACTATGTGGGGTTTGCATTGTTGCTGTTTTATGTTGCATCTGTTGTTTGATTGTCGAAATTTGTGAGAATGACAAGCTACCTCTGTCCTTGCATCTGAAAGTATGAAGTGAAACATGAAATTTTTTACAGCTTACAAGATACAGTGTCTAGTTATCTGAAATTGAGAAGCTACAAAAATGTTGAGAAACAACTAAATATTTATGGATTAGCAGACAATGAAACTAATTACAGAAACTGCTAATTCCTAGAAGAACAGAGTTAAACATTGCTAAAAAAAAGAGAGAGCGTTTCAGATTCAATGATCGGGTGTTATGTCTTGCAAATTTTACCACAACAAATTAGTATACTCAAGTTATTGCCTTAAAGCGTATTTGAAATTCAAGTTACCATACAAATTGCAGAAAATTTATCCTGGTTAAGTTATGTAAATAGCTTTGGCATATGAATAGGAGGATTTTCTAAAATATAAACATTCAGTATTAAGATAGAAAATTAAAAGCTATCCAAAATCATCCTTTCACGATTCATCCATTCATCCATTAGCCATCCATATTTTGACCATGAGTGGCATAATGGACACTAAAGCATTAAAGTATACATACAAGATAGCATTTTTTTTATTGTTCTTAAGAAAGTTGGTGTGCTATATAGAGGGCATTCAGCTTAGTTTTAGGCCAACTTCGGCATCTGATTTATGTGGTGTAGATTCTGCACTGAAAGGCAATTAAGCTGAACGAACCAGAGAGACACACTAGTTCAACTTCATTAAAATAAAGGGAAAATGTAGGAGAGTTGTTTACCAAAGATTCTGATATAGAGTAGGAAAAGTTGGCAAACCATATTAGCCAGCTGCCAACCTTTTGTTCGCAATCTTCCCCTGTATAAATTAACCTCAGCCTTTTCATCCCCAACAAGCCAAAGAAAACATTCTTCTCTCTACATTTCTAAATCATTGTTGCCAAGAACTTTCATAGAATTGACCCGATGGCAGTTAGATGGATGGAGGTTATGCTTGCTATAGCCCTTGTCGGAACTTTGTGGGCAGGAGCTAAGGCACAATCATCTTGCACCAATGTGATCATAAGCATGTCCCCATGTTTGAACTACATAACAGGAAACTCATCGACGCCGTCTTCATCATGTTGTACACAGCTTGCTAATGTGGTCAAGTCGCAGCCTCAATGTCTATGTGAGGTCGTCAATGGCGGTGCCTCCTCACTTGGAGACAATGTTAATCAGACTCAGGCTCTGGCCCTCCCTGGTGCTTGCAATGTTCAAACTCCCTCTATTGGCCGCTGTAATGGAAAGCAAGTGCAAGCAATCCAAGCTCTAATATCATTTCATTTCAATGCAAATAGCTAATTCATTTTATCATCTGTTCGAACAGCCTCTTCGCCCACAGATTCTCCATCAGGAACACCAAATTCTCCTCCTGTAGGTACAAGATTCAATCAAGTTTTCCAATTATGTTACCAAATCTCCAATTTGCGACACGATTTTACGCACAGCATAGTTTTATTTTTTATTTTTTTTACTTCTAGTACCAGGACCACTGGACAAGACTCCATTTTTATTACTTTTTTGTGTGTTGAGTGCAGGAAGTGGATCTAAGACAGTACCATCAACGGATAATAGAACATCAGATGCAAACTCTACAAAGTTGATGGTGTCTCAACTCTTCTTCCTGCTCTTCATCACGTCATATGCTTCGACCCTGGTCACCATATGATCTCTTGCTACCATGTGTACTGTTATACTGTTACTGTAACATGGGACTCAGAATATTCATTTTGTTTTGGCATGAGTGAGTCGTGCGCGTGTAAGACATAGCATAATTCTTTTGGGGGTGCATTTTTGGAGTTGATCATATGTATACTCCTATTACCAATAAATAAAAGATTCTTGGTTTTTCATACTGCTCTGGAGATTAATTAGAGGCGAAATTTGCTTACTGAAGTTGGTGTCGCATACAATTCGAGGCAACTCTTTCAAGTAATTGGTAATTGCTTCGGGTAATGTTTGTTTTTGTATTGTAAAAGTATTTTAAAAATATATATTTTTAAAAAAAATTTGTTTATTTTTAAGTTATTTTGATGTATTGATATAAAAATATTTAAAAAAAAAACAAAAATTATTTTAAAAAACAACCAATCATACTCTTTAATATCCCCAAGTATCTTTATTGATATCAAAATGAAAATTTAGGTCGTGTGAAATAAAAATTTCATTAGTATATGATATAAATAGAAAATTAATGTTAATGTTACTTATTATTTTATACCTTATTAGTTTGGATTAAATCATTTATATTAATTGAAAACAACATTACAATTTGTATGATACATATGTTAAATGATTCAAATTAAACAAAAAATAATATAATTATAAGAGAAGATGAAGTGAGGTGTCATTGTTCACTTTATTCTAACATTATATCTTTAATCTACATACAGACATACATATATATATACATGCATGCATGCATGCATACATACATACATATATATATAATATTAAAAATATTATTTTATTTTTAATAAATAAAACAAAATAAATATATTTATTAACAGTACATAAAAATATCAAGCAAAAGATATTGGCAATTAACAGGAAGCAAATTATCAAGCAAGCAAGAAATAGTCAGATATGTTTGACTAATAAGCCATAAGCGTGTTCCAGTAAATTTGTTACAGTGAGAGTACTGAATCAACGGCAATCATTTGGCCAGAGGAGAGTCCGTTAAATTACCGACTTCAGAATTTAGATAGCGGGTCATTATGGTCATTCAAGCAACAAAAGATATACATCATGACTATCCATGATGTCATGCGGTAATTTTTAAAAATATTTTTTTTAATTTTTTAAAAATTATTTTTAAAATTAACACATTAAAATCATTTAAAACATATAAAAAAAATAATTTTTTTTAAAAATTAATTTTAATCAATGTAGCAATCATAATTTAAAACATGGCCACCAAAATTTCTAATTCAAAACTTCAACTCAGATTTAAATTGGTTTCAATTTAAATTAATTTTAATATTAACTTGATAAAATTTAATTAGATTATAATAAAAATAATAAAATATTATTTAAGAATAATAATAGACTTAACACATAAATTAATTTAATAGTCTAAAATTATTTTAGATATCAATTATGTGTTTGGTTTTATGATACCAATTCTTTTATAAAGAGTTTTTTATTTTAAAATATTTTAAAAATAAATTTTAAAAAATTATTTAATTTTTTATATAGGGATGCCAAGATAATCAGAAATTATTAAAAATATATAAAAAAAATAAATTAAAAATATATAAAAAAATAATTTTAACAAAAACAAATGGAAAAGGAAATACAGTGCCGACAGCACCTTCCTTTTCTAGTAGTTTTTATTTATTTTCTCGATACAATGATGTGATGTTTCTTTATTGTTTTCTCTTCAAGCACTCTTTATTTCAATTCGGAGGAGGACTTAATGCTTAAGTTTCTTGGGGCCGTAACAAATGACTTTACAATTGAATTAACCGGCGCCGGAACCTCCAGAAGCGCATGCAATTCGAACAATCGGCACTGTTTCTTTGTTCTTTTCTCCTCATGCACTAAAAAATTATAACCGGGAAGTCCAAGCGCGTTGCCTTGCTGAGACCTCCAATCACTCACAGCTCCTCGGCAACTCCATTTTTTATCGGGAAAGTTGCACTGTAACATAACTAGATGTTCACGTGAATTTTTTTCTTTTCCTGCTTCTTATGGACAATTTACTTTCTGTAGATGACTGTTCACGTAAGTAACCATCTAATCCATGACCCGCAGAAGATAAATGGAAACAATGCATGACAGCAGAACGAAATCAAAAGCCAAGATTATTCTTCTGCCCCTGCCGTCAAATTTCAACAGGGAAATGGTTCCTGGGAAATAATTAAAATAATTAAAAAAAAGATATGTGATCCTGCCAAGATTATTTCTCCGCGTTTGTGTGTATGTTTGTTTAAAAATGTGTGCTTCACACTTCATGAAAAAACATGTAATGTGATGCACCTGGTGAAATATGTCATCAGCATGTACTACAGGCTCTTCATGCTGTGCGCCGCACCTCACAACTCACAACCGACCATTTTACAGCAGTTCTAATATCAACTATTGATCATTGACTATTGATAGCCACCATTGTTGAATGAGCTAGAGTTGGTGGCCACCAATATTGACAACAAAGCAAGAAGAGCCTCCATGAATGCCTATAAATGGAGACATATGTGAGAGAGCAAAATGAAAAAAAGAAAAGAGCCAAAAATGTGATAAATATAGGAGAAAGTGGGCTGCCATTGCAGCACTAAAAAGAGAGAAATAGAGTGAGGTTGAGAGTTGTGAAAGAGGGGATGATTCCTCCTCCTCTATTGTTGTAAATCTTGTACTCTCCCTGCATAATGCAATGGCTTCTCCCGTGGATGTAGGCGGTTTTGCCGAACCACGTTAAATATTGTGTGTGTCAGTGTGCTTGGCCTCCTATGAGCAAATATCAGTACATCACTGGTCGGAATTCCCAACAACAACTCACAACCGACCATTTTACAGCAGTTCTAATTTGAAAAAAAAAAAAATATATTTTAAATTAATATTTTTTTTATTATTTTGATGGCTTGATATTAAAAATAATATTTAAAATAACTTACTTTAAGAAATTAGATAGAAACCATAAATGAATTCTTATTTTTGTCATCTAAAAAAGGGAGAAGGAGAAATAGTTAGCAATCACCTCAGATCCATTTCCAATGGGTATTAATTATCTTATTTGATAATCTAAAGTCGCACGGTAGACTAATACCAGAGATGTGATGAGTTGCTCCAAACAATTTGTCAAAGCCTTGACATACAAGTTAAGAGAGGGCCCGAGGTGGGAACACTAATCATATAATTAAGCTTCTTAAACCAAAGATCAACAAAATAAAAACAAAACACATTTTCTTGGCGCATTTCAACCACGTGTCGACCAAAGATTGCTATTTAATTTTAATTAATAAAAATGGACCCAGAAATATCCTCAAAGGCCTGCGTTCTGGTTTAGACTCTAGGGTAAGCACGAATCAATAAAAAGACTTGAAAATAAACATATAAATAAAAAAATAAAACGCTAAAGAAAATCACAAAAACGCCCATCAAGAACTGTGTGTTCTTTTCTTTCTTTCTTTCAGTTTTAGCTGTGAAGGTCTCTCTTGTAGGCAAACTTACGCTACTTTTGATTTCTCTGTGCGTGTAGAAATCTAAGCAACAGAGCCCCGAATCTTATTGGGTTTCAGGTAAAGCATATTGTCTTTCTATTGTGCAAGCAGAAGGAAATTAACTCATTTTTTGTTTTTTTGTGACAGAATTTGACGGTGATTTGCTGAAATCTTGATTTGATTTTGAAATTAATTAATACCCATTATTGTTTGTGGTGAACTGGAAGTGGGTTTGGCGTTTGAAGTGAAGAACGTTCTGTCTGGTTATTTTTGGGTTATATTACTTGTTTCTGAGGCTGAATTTAGCGCCTTTGTATTTTGATTTTCTTTGTCGTGCGTTTAATTGGTTGATGAGTTTTAGTAGACCTTGGCATAAATTCGATACAAGTGTGCCTGGCTTTGATGTCGAATTTTTTTTTTTTTCAAGAAACTATAGGTGATATTGCGAGTTGCATTGGTTCTTGTGTTGGATATTCATAAATGTGTGTGAGGTATAACTAGAACTAAGAAGGGCTTTGATGGTGATTTGCATGTCTTAAGATACTTGGGGTTCAGCATTTATTAATCAAGAGGACTTTGAGCTTTCTTCCATTGGATTTCTTAGTTTATGTTCCAAGGTTTTAGGACTTTTGAGAATTTATTAATTTATGTTTAGCTAGTAAACTCTTTGATGCAGACACGTGAAATGAGATTTGTGGTATTCGATGTTCCATTTCCTCCTTCCACAAAATTGTTATCTCAAATGCTTCTATGATTACCTGTGTTAAGTTAGTTTGTGTGTGGAATCAAATAAATTATGAATTTATGGTGCATTTCAATGAATCTGCTCAAGAATATGGAGAAAATTGCAAAACCAGATTGCTTATCACAGTTCAATTTTTGACTGTGACATGTGAAAGTGAAAACATGTGGTCATATTCTGTCATCGATTGAAGTTCACTGACTTATCTCTTTATCAGGAAAGATGTCTAACAATCTTAGTGTGAATGTGTTATGATCTTGGTGATCCATGGAATGAAATTGCTTATGAGGATTTCGCTTGTTGCCTGGGGCGTTCTTTTATCTGTTTCTTACTTTGTGTAATGCTTGTTGTCCATCCTTTGATAATACCTTTAGTTACTTATTGCAGGCAATTTTGTGTTTTTTTTTTTCCCAGACAGTGTTTATATGTAGGATCAGGTCCATCTCAATGCCCAGAAACTTGTTTCTTAGACAATTCTTCTTATCTGGGATTATCAATTTCTTTGGGTTTCCTTGTAAAGCAATTATGACTCAACACATTACCACACAAGCACACACCCTTATAGTGTAATCATGACTAATGTCTGGTAAGCCTATGCTCTGAGCAGGAGAAATCGGATACCTTCTAGTCTAGGTTGAATTTGTGATGGGTTTTCACTTGTTTCTTTTTGGTCTGGCTATTTCAATTATAAAAAGTTTTTTGTTGAGGAATTCTGATTTGGCACTGTATTTTTTATGCTTTTTTAAATTTAATAAAATTTGAACATTGATGGTAGAAAAGAGAAGGCTAGGTTGCCACCTCATATTAATTTTCATGATAATACTTCTGTATGTATGAAAAGGCATACTCTTCAACCTTTAAAGATGATACAGCTACCTGGAAACAAATAATTGCTTCTAGATATTGATTTCAGGTGTTAGCAGACACTCATTTACAATTTCACATACCAAAACAAGTGATTGAACGTAGTCCTATTTAATCTTTATGTTCTGGATTTCTTTTCCTTTTTTGTCCAATATAATTCTGTCGCCATTCTGTTTGATGATGGTGGTGCCTATTTAAAGGATGAGTTTTATCTTCCAAGTGCTTTAGAGTGCAAATGAAAAGACAACTGTAATAATTTTATTTTCATCAAGAACTGGATGCACCTTTACTAGTACATTGATTTTGAAATTCGAGAACCATGAATTGATTCATATAACCATGTCCTTGCCTTTTTTTTTTGTCAGATAGCTTTTGCATTGCTGTCATCAGTATAGCAAAAAATCAGCAGTGAAGAAATTATATGAAACTGATGCAACAGTGGTTAGTATGTCTGAACTGATTGAAGGTCTTCCAGACGCTGTTGCCATCAGGTGCATTGCACGGGTTCCCTTCTACCTCCATCCCAAGTTAGAGGTTGTTTCTCGTTCATGGCAAGCTGCTGTGCGTAGCACTGAGCTGTTTAAAGCCCGGCAGGAGGTTGGTTCAGCTGAGGATCTGCTATGCGTGTGTGCCTTTGATCCTGAGAATTTGTGGCAGCTTTATGACCCTCTCCGAGACCTTTGGATTACCCTTCCTGTTCTCCCTTCTAAGATCAGGCACCTTGCGCACTTTGGTGTTGTCTGTAGTGCAGGAAAGCTATTTGTGCTTGGTGGTGGTAGTGATGCTGTTGACCCATTAACTGGTGATCAAGATGGAAGCTTTGCAACAAATGAAGTGTGGTCATATGATCCTGTATTACGAGAATGGGCAGCACGTGCATCTATGCTGGTGCCCCGAGCAATGTTTGCATGCTGTGCTTTGAATGGAAAAATTGTTGTTGCTGGTGGTTTCACCAGCTGCCGAAAATCAATTTCTCAAGCAGAAATGTATGATCCAGAGAAGGATGTTTGGGTCCCGATACCTGATCTCCATCGAACTCACAATTCTGCATGCTCTGGAGTAGTTATGGGGGGGAAGTTGCATGTCTTGCATAGGGGCTTGTCAACAGTACAAGTTTTGGACAATATAGGGTCTGGGTGGACCGTTGAGGATTATGGCTGGCTCCAAGGTCCAATGGCAGTTGTTCATGATGCTCTTTATGTGATGAGCCATGGACTAATTGTCAAGCAGGAAGGGAAAACCAGGAAAGTGGTAGTTTCAGCATCTGAATTCCGGAAAAGGATTGGATTTGCAATGACAGGGTTAGGAGATGAGATGTATGTGATTGGAGGGGTGATTGGCCCTGATCGATGGAATTGGGATATCAAGCCAGTGTCTGATGTTGATATCTTGACAGTTGGGGGTGAAAGACCAACATGGCGCCAGGCAACTCCAATGACACGGTGCCGAGGAACAATCCGTGGTTGTGCACAGCTGAGAATTTAATCCTGTTTGTTCTTGTTGTTTCTTTTATGTGAAAAGCGTGCCCTTGTTAAGGCATCGGTTCCTTCCTACTGGAGACAAGGAATGTAAATCTTTCACTGGCTATCCCGTTTTATCCGTGAGCCATAATCTTTGCCTCTATTTTCTGTTAGCTTAGGAGTTTTTGAGGGAAACTTCCATTTGGAAGGCAAAGCTGAATGTATTGAATCAGTTTTAACAGCAGCAGTGGTACATGAAATTTGTTTAGCAGCATGCATGACAATTAACGAACCATTTGTTCTTTTTAATCTGCACAAACTGTATCTGCTGGTTTCTTGTTATTCTTTCCACTCAATATTCTTGTAGATGAAAATCTGTGCTCGTTGACTAGCTCTTTCTCTTAAGTTTCCTGGGCTCGAGCGCAGTAGTGCCCCCATGATCTGAAAAGCAAAACCCTCCTCCATTGACAATGGGTTGATTTTCGTTGTGCTTAAAAGTAATCTCTGACTATGCGTTATCTAATGCAATTACGGTGCGCACATGACGGGACAAGTCAGACCTGGCATCATTGTGTAATAAATCCGTTAAATCTGGATAGGCCCAATACATAAAACAAATATGCTTCAGTGAGCAGATATACTTTTTTCTCAGGGCCGTGCAGTTAAACCCTGAAAGGTGAAACATTATGAGCAACAACTGTTTAACAGGAGCAAAAATGGACACTCAAGTTGGAGGAGGAGAAAACAACGGAGACGTAGAGGTAGCTCCGGCCCTAATTTCAGTTCAGCCGTCCCAGGATTCCTTCGCTGTCGCAGTCGGGCCAGACCTCCGCGTCTTCGACTTCCGGTAAGAAATCATCACGACAATTCTGCATGATTTGACCCAATCAGAATTCATAGTTGCAAAATGAAATACATGGAATTTTGGAATTTAACTCATTGTATGGATTTTCTGAAAAGAGAGGGGGTTGTGGGGTTACATTGGTGGATGAAACTGGAGAGGCATTTCTTAAGGATTCTATAATTGGAAGCTGTTTATATCAGTTGGTGATGATAAACTTGTCAATATTTGGTCTACTGGTTCTTGGCGCTGCATTGCTTCCGTGCATGTTATTTTATTCTTTGAAGTTTATGTTTTCTAGACCTTGATATGGGATATTTCTTGGGTGGATTTCCTCCTGAATAATGCCAAGAGTAAAATCTGATGCATGTCGTGGCTGAAACTTGGGAATTATTTCTTGTAGCGTTTGCTTGATAACTTGTCAATATTTGGTCTACTGGTTTTCGGCGCTGCATTGCTTCCGTGCATGTTATTTTATTCTTTGAAGTTTATGTTTTCTAGACCTTGATATGGGATATTTCTTGGGTGGATTTCCTCCTGAATAATGCCAAGAGTAAAATCTGATGCATGTCGTGGCTGAAACTTGGGAATTATTTCTTGTAGCGTTTGCTTGATACCTGTGTTTGGAACAGGTGCTCTGAGAAGAGAGTGAGTGTAGTTGCCATTTATGATGGAATGCATGCTTGTTTTGCTGACAAATTCGGAGCTGTTGGGAGGTGGATCTGCATGGACTTGATGGAAACGAGTCATTGGAAGATCCAGAGTTTGAATCCGCAGAGAAATGTTCATATCAAGATTTCTACTACTCGTGGGCTCGGACCCAACTCGGTATTCAAGTGGTATATGGCAATCGCAATTGTAGTGTAGACAGCAAACCATGTGCCATATAGAGTTGATTCTACAGCCCACACAACATTCCGAGCTTCTCAGGTGCCTCTTGTCGTGATAACATGCTATCTTTACGTTATCACTTAGCAAATAAACTATGAACTTCTCCAGGCCTGTCTCGAATCTCACGGGCTAGGAGCCGTTTGGGTTGTAATTTAACCTGCTGTTCTCTTGCAGGAAAGGGACCATCAAGGGTGGGATCGGAAGAAGGAAGAAGGAAGATCATAATAAAAAAAAATATTAAATATGGGTGGCGTGATAAAAAATTCAGGAAAAATATACTTAAATTCTTAAACTTCAAAAATAAAATAAATTATACAATTCAAATCCTTCTAAATTTTCAAAAAAAATAATTTTTTATACAAAAATTTATTTTTATTATTTCTTAATTTTTGATTAGAGAAAGAAAAAAAAATAGGTTGCCAGATTCCAACAATGAGAGAAAAAGTCATCATTAAAGTCATTCCTTATCACCATTTTTTTTTTTTATATATTCACAAGTTTCACAAGACAAGAGGTTACTGTTTAGAGTCTCACTATTTGTTGAAAAAAATATATTTAAGATGAGAATAACAAATCTAACCATTTTGATTTTAGGTTTTTAGACCCTTCTCCAAGATTTTGAACTTGGCTGGACTTTGAAATTTTAGACCTTTTTTTCAATATTTTTGAGTTGATTGATTGATTTATGGATGTTTGAAGGGTATTAATAAAATGTTTTTGAGTTGAAATAACTTAGAAATTAAGTTTTTTAACAATAAAAAGAGGTTGCATTGATTTTCTGCCCACCATAGTAGTCAAATAATTTAATATGTTGTTTGATTAAGTTAAAAATTATTTTAGATTAACAAGATTTAACAAACACAACTCAATAAATATTTCACTAATTAAAAAAAGAAAAAAAAATAGGTTGTTAGATTTCAACAATGAGAAAAAAAAGTCATCATTAAAGTCATCCCTTATCACCAATTTTTTTTTATATATATTCACAAGTTTCACAAGACAAGAGGCTTGATGGTTACTGTTTAGAGTCTCACTATTTGTTGAAAAAAATATATTTAAGACGAGAATAACAAATCTAACCATTTTGATTTTAGGTTTTTAGACCCTTCTCCAAGTTTTTGAACTTGGCTGGACTTTGAAATTTTAGACCTTTTTTTCAATATTTTTGAGTTGATTGATTGGTTTATGGATGTTTGAAGGGTATTAATAAGATGTTTTTAAGTTGAAATAACTTAAAAATTAAGTTTTTTTAACAATAAAAAGAGGTTGCATTGATTTTCTGCCCACCATAGTAGTCAAATAATTTAATATGTTGTTTGATTAAGTTAAAAATTATTTTAGATTAACAAGATTTAACAAACACAACTCAATAAATATTTCATCTTATAAGATTAAATATATTTATTTATACATATTTTTTAAATTTTTTATTTTATATTTAGTTAAAATTAATAATTTTATTTATTTATTAACATATATAGTTCTTAATTTATTATATTATATATACACATGAATTTCTTGATTTGCTTTATTTTTTTTAAAATCACAGGAACACATGAAAATACCTATATGTATAAATTTTTTTTATAAAAGATAAAAATACATGCAGGAGAGCTACATCTCTCATAAATTGTCAACTCCGTCACGTGATTCATGATTTTTAAATGGGAAAAAGAGAAATCGCTTGGATTTGTTGTGGATATCGAATTTTGATAATGAAAACTAATGAAAGGATCTGATTAAGAAACCAAGTGATAAATTAGGGTCTAATCAAGAAAAAACAAAGGTTAGGGACCTAGATGATGCTGTCATGTAAATTGGGAGATTTTTGAAGTTCTTCCGATTTCCTTTTTCACGTACAGAACCACCGATGATTAGATTTGCTGCTGTCTGGCATTAACAAAATCGTGCCACGTCAGGGGTTGGCTTTCAACAATAGTAGTGGTTTGGTAAATCCAGCCCCTAGTTAAAGCAAACAAATTCTGAGGAAACTGCTTGTCTAATTTTTAAATTGTCGGAAACGATTATTTTTTAGTGTGTTTTTCATTAGAAAATATATTAAAAAATTAATTTAAAAATAAATACATTAAAATAATTTAAAAATATAAAAAAATATTTTTAATAAAATAAAAAATTAAAATTTTTAGAAATACTTTTAATATATTAAAAAAATGATATATAATTCATGTTTGATTTATTTTTGATGTTTTTAGTGTGTACTTAAAAGTGTAGTTATGGTTTTTTTTAAAGTGTTTTTTACTTATAATTATATCAAAATATTTTTTTTAAAAAAAAATATTTTTAATATTAATATAAGTATATTAAAACAATTAAAAAATTAATTAAAAAAATTAATTTTTTTTAAAAATGTGAGAAATACCCTTTATTTGGGTGTTACAATGATCCACGACTTGAATGCCCTATCGACTTCACCGCATAATTGGTCCTGTACTCAAGTCCTGATCGCTTGTATTTTCCTCCGACCTTCAAAATACCAATCTTTTCACCTCCTTTTCGATGGTCAAAAGATGGTTTATCCTCATCCTATCACCTTGTCACATTATCAACGCAGCGTCTAGTCTGGGGTTTTTGTTCTCTTCGCCATGCCACTTGTCATGTCCTCAGAGAACACGATTGGCATGTCCTCAGAGAACACGATCACGAAGATGTAACTCCACTTCTACCACAAACAGACAAAGCACTCCATTTTTTTTAACTTCATCCTACCTGGTGCCTGGCTAGATCGTTCTCATCTTATCTCTTCGATTGAAAATTGAAGCTCGGAGGGAGAGGGGATGCCCACGATGCCTCGGTCAATAGACCGAGTGGCAACACAAACTTGCTGAAACAGAAAAGTACATATTGTCTGGCAATCTATTATTTGTTTGAATTATGCGCCTTTGACACTTAACCCCATGACAGAGACCTCCACTTGGTCGATGATGATAGTGGGGTCGTTTGGCCCAAGGAAGAAGACAGATAAATGGGACCCTTCGATAATTCATCTCCCAGTTTGGTAGTGCCACCTGTCCCTAAACTACGAGCTACTTTCTTCCTTGCCTGGCTGATTAGCTAGTTGAAAAGAAAGCTCACTAGGTAAATGCAGCAAGAGGTCTTGGGCATGGCTGCTGGCTGCACATCGAAGAAATTCATTTTTTAATTAAAGTCGTGGAAGAGACTCCATCTCTGATTAGGCCGATCTCGGATTTAGAAGGGTGACTTTGTCTTTAGCCAAGCCAAAAAGAGCCATCTTTGTGAAAATTAAGAAATGAATTTATGCCGAAGACTCTGTCTTTAGTCAAGCAACAAAGAGCCATCTTTGTGAAATGTTTTTTTTTAATGATTTATGTTGTTATGTATTAAATATCAGTTTAGTCCATGAATTTTGTAATTACTAACTTTAAAATTAATTAAATATATATAAATTAATCCAAATATCTATATTAATTTTAAAAAATTAAATTAATGCCTTAAAAGGACATGATGAATCCTTTTACGGAATTCAGGTTAGATAGATGCCTTGATGCTCTAAAAAGACGTGAGAATAAATTAAATCGTAACGTACAAGGTTACACAACTTTTTAGTTTAAAGTTTTTACTATAAAGATTCCTTTTTATCGAATTAAAGGAAAATTCACCCATCATCGACATATAAATCTTTACAAAAAAAAATCATCGTAAATATATTAATTACTATATGTTTGTCAAGTGTCTTTACACGATTCCAAGTAGACTGAATTGTGAATAATAATAATAATATAGTTTTTCCCTAAATATATAATAAATTTGTCTCTGTTTGTTTACAATCTTAATTCATCTTAATAACTTGAATTCAGAGAATGTGATTGACAAATTTGTTCGCTTAAACGACAGAGACAAGACATCACTGTCTATACTAGGAGGTGGTTTTCTATTGAGTTGTGACAAATTTATTATTATAAACTTGACAGCTCACTTATAGAGCTGACAGCTTAAGTGCGGATGAGGTGATGGATAGAACTATAAATTAACTTTTTTATAATGTTTATTATTATTTTATATGTGTGTGTGTGTGTCTGTATGTATGATAATTGGTTAAGCCGACCTTGCTTAATTGCTTAACATTATTTTATACGGGGATGAGTAAATTAGCTGAATTATTTAAGATATTTGTAAAAACTCACATGAAATTAATCGAATTGAATAGTTTCTTGGATTTATTGAATGATTCTGGTTCAAAAATTCTCTAATAAAATTTGCATTTCAGGTTTCAAAAATTAGAATAAAAAAATTAAATGAACTAAACCAAATTAAAAAAAAACCATTACAAATTAAAAACTCATTGAATCAAATCCCGTCAAATTATCCAATTTAAAAACAAAATTACTCTACATTGAATTGATTCTTGTTTTGATTTAGTCCAAGTTTGGTTTATATCCAAAACAAACCGTTTGTTTTTTAATTCAAGTTATCCAAGCTATGCATCAAGGTTTATCGAACGGCTAGCAAATAGAAACAATAAATCCATGGGAACAAAAAACAAAAGTGCACACATCTGTGAATAGAACCTTTAGCCAGAGAACCCACGCTCCATGGCATAACTGGGCTCGGGGTCCTATCACGATCATCAATATTCAACCTTCTCAGGGACCTAGCCAGAGACCCAACTCCCTATAATTCACATATAACAGAACATTATAGGGGATTCTTCAGTACGCTTACCCTAAAAAGAAACCACAGGGCAACCAGTCGCTGAAGAACTGCTGGGCAAGATTGCCTTCGATTATAGCAAGGAGTTGAGCTAAAAGACAAGGCCTCGCATGAAATCAAGCCATTTCAAGGCAAAACATGCAGTCACCAGGAGCAATGGGCCACAAGGTTCTCGGGCCTGTCAGTCAGTTCACAGTAATCAGTTTTGAACGATAATAAAGAGAAAAGGACAATACCTCTGTCAAGTGGAGCCCACCATTGTATTGGGATTGAGTTCGGTTCTGAGTGGAGTTAGCTGGGTCCAATGCCTTTTTTACGTTACTAAG